CTTCCCCACTGAGACCTAGTGTGTTAGGTCGCTAGCAGCTGCAATGTTGGCTGCTACCCCTCCCACAAGAAACTCACATGGCTTAGACAGCGAGCAACAGCAGTAGTGATGATGCCACTCCTCACCCCAGAAACTCGGCAGAAATCCTAGGCAGATTCCAGCCAAGTGGCTGTTGAGAATCTGCCTAGTTTTATGGTTGAGACCCTACGTCCTGGTGGCATGGGTTCATGAGTGGGATCTTCGAATCTGTGGGTTGCACAGTTCCTTGGAAAAAGCTAGGTTTCTCAGGCTGGGTAGCACGCTCATTTCCTGCCTCCCTTGTTTGGGGGTTGGGGCTCCCCTGCCCTGTATGGCTTTCAGGTGGGCAGCTGCACCACACTGCTCTTTCTTCTCTGTGGGACATGCCAACCACATAGTCAGTCCTGATGACAGAACCTGGATACCTCAGTTGCCAGTGCAGGATTTGTGTGCTCTTTTGCTTCTTTTTGATGGGGACTTCTGATAACCACTGCTTCTAGTTGGCCATCTTGGCCCTGCCCTGCACCCCCAAAATAAATTCCTGTACAGTTTTTAATCTTAAAGAGAGAACTAAGTAGGGATTTTTAAAACATTTCATTAAAAATCATTTTAACTAGAAAACATTCAATTTGTGGTAGGAATGGCAAGTTTCATCTTATTGAAATGACTTTTTTTTTTCCTTCATAATTTGGTCATCATAAGGACTCACTAGATGACAGCACAAAACAAAACAAAAATAAATGAATAACAATTTTTAACTTTCTGTCCACTACTGTTGAAAACACTTGTGTGTAAGTATCTTTATGCTAACTTTCCTCTTCCCTGCTTCTCTTCCTAAGATAGTGTCACATGTATGAGGAAAAGGGTCTCACATGACCATGCATCATGGGACAAATGGAACCCATTGGTGTCATGTTGTTACTGGGTAGATACTTGCTATTATTGGTTTAGTTGCAGCAATCCTGGCCCAGTGCTCCTTCATCTGGCCGGCAGTAACCTATAGCTCAAGCTTGTCCAACCTGCGGCCTCAGGATTGCTTTGAATATGGCCCAACATAAATTTATAAATTTTCTGAAAACATAGTGAGTTTGTGTGTATGTGTGTTTTCCCAGTTTATCAGCTATTTGGTAGTGTATTTTATGTGTGGCCCAAGACAATTTTTTTTTTCTTCCAGTGAAACTTATTAGCAGGGGTGTCCAAACTTTTGGCCCAGTGAAGCCAAAAGACTGGACACCCCTGCTAAATAGATTGTCCTCTCTCATGCTTTCTGACTAACTGGACCTCATCTTATCTCTAGATGGCAGAGAAAACCTACTTAATTTTGGCCATATCCTCTATCTGCTTCTTGGCCTAGAAAGCCAACACTATAACCTCTGCTGCAGGATCACCAAATGTCTTTTATCAGAGACTTGTGCTAGGTCTCAGCTCAGCTTCCTTTCTCTCCACACTTTGAGAGCCTGTAGTGTTTTCTCAGGTGCATCCATGAGTGAGAAGAGCAGAGGGAAATGCTTGGTTTAAACTGAGGCCCTGTCCCTCAGCCCATCTACTTAATGGTCTGTCTTCCACTCCCAGTAGAAAACTCAGCATTTCCATAGGGACAGCCTGAAAGATGGTTCCTCCTATATTTGTATTGGGGACAGGATATCCGCTTGCCATTCACCAGTGAGTTCTCCTCCCTTCTGGGACTTAATGTCCTAGAGAGGAGCACCAATCCCTGACCCCTGGCTCAGTCTCACTCACCTCTCTTTGTCTACCTCTGATTCCAACTTCATAGATGTCAGGAGTGTCTTCAGCTCATTATGTAAAAATTTTGGAATTTGACCATCCCAGGTACATCACTGTAGTACAGTAAAAGAGAGGTGAAGGATTTAGCAAACCCTTTATCCTCAAATTTGTTCTGCCATTTTCTACACTGTACTAAAAAAACATTATGTCTCGGTCTGTATAGATGGTTGTGAGGTAAAGACTATTGTAAATAAGTTGCATTATTTAATATTTGCAAAGTGATTGCCATCATTACAACTTTTTACGTGTAATCACTAAGAAATCTGACGCCTCTTTTTGCTTCTTTCATCTGCTGTTCTTTTTATTTTAATCCCTTTTTCTTATTTCTTTTAACCTCAATTTTCTTGAAAAAATCTCAAATTTGGTGAGTACTCTGGTATATGACACTGTCCCTGAAGTATGCTATTTAAAAAGAACCATAACAGCTAAGGCTATTCTCCTTAACACCAATCTTCTGCACCTGCAATTTGCCACCAGAACACCATTGTAACCCGAAGTTGCTATTTGATTTGCCTATCACTAGTGAGTGAACAGCAGGATTCTAATGTGGAACATATCACATTTTGCCCCTTCCTCATGTATATGTCCAATTTTTCCATTATGTGTTGTTAGTCTTGTCTTCCTAATTAATAATAACCTTCTTGTGCGATTTTATGTGCCTTTCAGATTGCCGCTTATAATGTGATGTGTACAAAACGTTAACAAATATCTGTAATTGCAATGGTCAGTGAGGAATATTGTTCAATTAAACATAACTGAACTATAACTCCCAATTATCTTTCATCCCTGGGAGAAGGGGAGAGAACCAAGAGTATTTTCTGAGTATGGTGACCACTCAGCTTGTAGCTCTTCTGAGTAAGATAAAAAATGTGAGAACTAGACTGAGTAAAACTATGTTTAAAAGCTATCTCTTTTAAATATGCTTGTGGCATGCAACAACCACAATATATTATTGTGGAAAAAATTTGCAAGTAGGTACAGGATATAAACTGTTGTATGTAATCATAACCATAGGAAAATGCTGTATTTAACAGCTAAAAATGCAGTTACTTTCGTGAGTTTTGTGACTAATTCCTTCTGAAGTGTGTGCTTTGGTAACAAAGTACCAAATCTTAAGTTTGTCCTCAATGAAACATTGAATGAAAATAAAGAGAATAAACATTCAATGAAATATCAAGAGGTTATCTAATAATTCTTGTTTTGTATATTTAACTTCATTCTCTCTTAAATTGAAGTTACTTTCACTTTGTTAGTTTTACATGGGTAGTATGCTTAAAATGGGATCATGTTAAAGAGTCTTTGTAGACATCTTATGTCAATCTTCTCCTCTCATCCCACAATTACACAAGTGAACGTATACGAATACACAGACAGTTGTTTCATTAATTATTCACCATTTGTGTGCTGAGTTGTTACTTTACTAGGATTCATCATACTGCCTTCTTTCCATATTTTAAAATGACTGATCAGGATTATGGGTTGAGTCTTTGATCAAGAAATATAGTAAAGTTAACAAATTATATAGTACTCGTCTCCAAGTCACACATGACTTGCAGTTGGCTACAGATATTATCTCACTATCAGCATTTATCATAGGTCTTTGAGAGAATATGATATTGTGAACATGTGTGTCCTTATCAGAAAATACTTTTACATTTAATAGTAAAAAAGAAATTAGGAAGTATGATCATTATTCAAGCTTTATTATTAATTCAAAACATATTTTTTAAATTGATGAATTTGATCTATTTGATGGTGCAATAGCCTTCTACCCTCAAAAGTATTCTTGATTATATCCTTAGAAGCTAATGTGTATTTACCCATAACTTTATTATACTATTTTCTAAAAATTCAAGATGGTTTTTGAATTTAATTTTTGCCAGTTTTTTTTTAAACTAGAGCCGAATTATAAATGAACCCACTTAGTACTAAGAACCATAAAGAGTAAGGCTGTTGGTTTGTGAAGTTTGACACCTTATTAATATTCTAAACCAAACTCGATTGCTGCTATCTCATCAAACAGCATTGGGCAGACATTTAAAGATTTTTATACATTTTAATTCAGCTGGTAACTTGATTTAAAACAACATTGATTTTTAAAGAAATTCATTTTTGGTCATGTATATCATGCTAAATATCAAAATGAATTTGTAAGTATTTGAGGCTGTCTAACGGGGTATTAAATTCTTAGAGAGTCTTTCTTTCCCCATGCTAATTCTCATCAATTTTCCATTGCTTTCATTTCCCCTTGAGCTTTAGCTTTTTAGAAGAATGATTCATTCTTTTCAGCATATACTATGATCATTAAACAATTATACCTTTATCAAGCAGAGCAGCAAAAGACTTCATGGATAATAATGAGGTTGGAAATTCTCCTATACAACCTGTTGGCTCATCTTGGAAGAAGAATGTCATGCCAAATTATTTTTTATGTGGTCAGTAATGATGTTCTAACAAGGATAGGTGGAGAGATGAGCATAAAGGGCAATGCTAATGGAAAGAACGATAGTAATATTCACCTTGCCAAAACATGGTAATGTCTTGACAAGATGCTACATGCTCTTGCTGCTAAATTAGGTTTCATACCAAGTTAGCAGCCCATATAGCTATCTGCTATCTTGAATGAACTAGATGGGTAATAATCAACCTTTCATGTTTTAGAAGTCTTTCATATGGGCCGGGCTCAGTGGCTCAACCCTGTAATCCCAGCACTTTGGGAGGCCAAGGCAGGTGGATCACAAGGTCAAGAGATCGAGACCATCCTGGTCAACATGGTGAAACCCCATCTCTACTAAAACTACAAAAAATTAGCTGGGCATGGTGGCATGTGCTTGTAATCCCAGCTACTTAAGAGGCCGAGGCAGGAGAACTGCCTGAACCCAGGAGGTGGAGGTTGTGGTGAGCTGAGATCATGCCATTGCACTCCAGGCTGGGTAACAAGAGCGAAACTCTGTCTCAAAAAAAAAAAAAAAAAAAAAAAAAAAAGTCTTTCATATGATAATTGCTTTGAAATTTTCTTTTAAACCTAGACTTTATGATGCATTCACTGTGTAGAATGATCCTGAAAGTATGAATGGAGTAGGCAGGAAGAAAGTTTATTTGAATATAGTTGCAGTCTCTATCTACCTTTAATTTTTAGCTTTATACTGAACACGAATATGACTGAAATCTTCCCTTTTGATATTTCCTAATTACAGGATTTCAGAGTGTGATCTCAGATCTTGAGTGTGAAGATACATCTACATTAAACCAGAAATCACTAAAAGTGACATCTGGACAAGAACATTTGGAAAATTTAAAAACTGTGAACGTTGATCATGGAAATTAAAGAGGAAGGGGCATCGGAAGAAGGGCAGCACTTTCTTCCTACAGCTCAGGCCAGTGATCCCAGGGACTCTCAGTTCACAAGTACGTATGTGTGTGTTTACATCTAAAGATGCAAATTGGGTTGAAACATACATATACATATATGCATTCAAAGATTCATAGGAACTTCAGTTCTAACAAATGGCATGAAATTATCTAAATATTTTTTTCTTTGCACTATTTACCTTGGTGGCATGAGTACACGATATGCCTTTCATCTTTTTTCTTGGGTAAGATAGATGATAGTCCATGAAATAGTTAAATATCAAATAACAAGATCAAAGCTCTTGAATATATATTAAGATCCTAATAAATGCTTTTTAAGGACACCTTCTAGACACTAATACCTTCTAAGAACGCTTTCTATTGATATTTATGTAATCTTATGTGTGATTATTTTTTGTACTGTAGAAATTCTCTCTTTAAACCCAAAAGGTATTTAAGTTGAAAGCATTAGGAAAAAAATATTACACTAGAAACTTAGATTGTCACTGCCATACCAGAGATCACTAAGTCAAAAATATAGAGCCCATGAAGATTTGGCCAAATTTGCACACAAACATTAAATTGGTTTTGTGTTACTCAAGTGATTAAAATCATTAGAAGAATTGTATGTTTTCTTTTATATTTAAAATTCTAGGGTTTGGGGTTCATTGTTTAGCATGAATTATGCCTTTTTCTTTTCTTTTCATAAGATTCCTGTAATCCAATTATTTAATACTGACAAATATATGCCTAACCTTCTCTTTTCATTTAAATTATAAAGCTAATCTTCAGAAAACTGTATTGGTTGGATGCATTTTTGAGAAATGTGTTTGTCAATGTTTAAAGCAGAGTTAATTGTTAATGACCTTTAAAAAAAAAAAACCCAGACATTTGAAGTTCACAAAACCCTACCTAGTGACTGTCACTTTAACTTCTCTTGGAAAATCTAAAATTGTTAACCAAAGCAATTGTTAAATGTCAGCAGGAGAAAAAATATACAGTTACTTTGCAAAATAAACACAATAAATGTTAACTCTGTGAATAAAAAGCAGATCATTTTTATACAAAATGTGATTCTAAAAATATATTAGTGGCCAAATGCCAGTATATTTAAACAGTATTGATGAATGCACCAGCAAAAGTAAGCAAGAAAAGGATTTGTATAATATTCTTTATTGCCGAATAGTTTACTCTTCCCTACATGTTAGTTTTGCCTCTTTGGCCATCCTTAGGTTGTAACAAATGGTGTCCCATTCATACATCCAGTCATTCACTCTTGTTTAGGAAGCTCCTACACTGTGTGTGGTCTTCAGACATCTACCCATCGCAGCATCACTTCTCACAACCTGATCACTCTACCGTCTAGCTATTAGATGGTTTCACTTCTATACCTTTGTTCTCAGACGCTCTTTTCCTCCTACTTTATCTTAAGTTATTTAGCCATCTTATCATATTTTTTAAACCTTGCTGACAAAAGGAATGCAAACATTTTATAAAATGTTGGTTTAAGCTATTAATGAATTAGCAGAATAACCAGCACCACAATGTCTATCATAACCTAGCTGAAGGTATCTCTTTTGTTATTGATTTACTATTTACAGCAGGTCAGAGTGGCTTGGGAAAAAAAAAAATCAATTTAAGGCAGTATTTTGGTAAGGGGATTCTTTTTGGAGGTTCCACTTCTGTCTACATTACATCCAAAAGAAATAAACACAGTTGTAAAATACGTTTTATGTTTGCCATGGCTTACAAAAACAACATTTCTTGGTTTCTTTATAATCATAGAGATAAAATGACCAATCAAATTTCAAGTCACATCTAGTTCTGTAACAAATATTATGCCCTTCCCTGAGAACTGGTTATTTATAGGCCTGATAAACCAAGTTTATTCATTCTGCCAAATATTATAGTTATTCATTCTGGTCAGGATGAAGCATATTAATATACATTGACATATTCTTGATAATGAATTCAATTTTTTAAAGCTGAATTTGTACCTATTATTTATAGGTATTCAGAAGACTCCAAATGAACCACAGTTGGAATTCATCCTTGGTAAGAAATTCCATCTTATTTATATCAATAAGTATAAGAATTTATGTAGTAGTTTGAAAAGTATAGGTACAATGCTTACATCAATACATATTTTACAAATTTTTATGAACATTATTCTTTTTAAAAAATTGTTCTATAAGGTAGGTGTTATTTTCTCCAAATTTATAAGAATTAACTTGCTGCCCAAGGATATAGGGTTCAGCAGTGATAGTTTTTCCTCTCAACCAGATCTATTGGTCACGCATTTCATGCCTAGCACTCATTTTAACACAGTGACTGCATTTTGTTGCTAACCAACATTTCTGCAAATGTGTCTAATTTTCTTATGCCTGGGTTGGAGACTGGCCACCTGTAGTTTCTCTTGTGTTCTTTTATGGCATTTACAGGATTCTTGCCCATTTCTGTCTTATTCAAGAACGTTCCCTGACTCTTTTATATTGATTTTTGTGAACATATCAATGACAATGAGAATTTAACTTTCAATCAAGCTTTGACTTGTTTAAGCAACTCTGAAGATCTGTCACATGTAAAAATTTGTAACTTTGTCCAAGGATGAATTAAAAATGTACACTCTGAGGCCAGTGTACTACTTAGCTAATGAATGAAAACTACTTTATATTTGAATTAAGTATGACTACAAAAATGACATAAGGAAATTAGCTGCAAAGAGATTCTTAAAGAAGATATAACTGGTTCATATGAACTATATAGACAGGTCTTTTTTTTTTTCCTCTCATTCTGAAATATTTTAGAAAGACAGTAGTATTTTTACATTTTATTTTAAACTAAGTTTTATAGACTAATACATGCATATATTCAATTTCACATACAGAGACCAGATATTGTATTAGAGTATCAAAATATTTACTTATTAATATACATATTTTCTAAAATTTTGGGAGCAAATTGAAATATATACATACTCTATACTGGATTTCAGTGGTTGGAATTTCCAGTTATTTTGGGAACATGAATTTTTATTATGATTTGAATTTATATATTTGGCTGAAAATATTGTATTTTGAAATATAACTTATTGAGACCATAATTGGTATGTAATTTACTTTTTGAACTTTTTTGTTACAAGTGTAGCTAAAAGGTGCTATAAATTAAATATTAAAGATTTAAAATTTTTTTCAGGTATTGAGAAATAGGCAGAAAAGTGAAAAACTCAAGAAAATTTTATAGAATTTTTCAAATAAAACTATTCTTTTTTTTTTTCCTCTCTCTCTAGAGGGTTTTCAGATTATATCAGATATAAAAAAGAACTTGTTTTTTAAAACAGAGCTGAAGAGCAAAAGAAAGCCTAGGCACTCTTCAGTCTTACTACTTGAGCTTTCATCTATCCATCTTTCATTTTTCATAGAAGAAACTCACTTTTTACATTTTTGACAGGACTTCTGAAAAGTGAAATTTCATTAGAGTTATTTGATATATTTCAAAGCACAAATAAAGCTTTCTTGTTTGCCTGCTGGAGAAAGAGGGCATCTGAAGGAACAGAACCAATTAGGATGGTGATTGTCAGGCAAATGTCGTGGCCAGCCTTTAAGAAATAGCATACCTGGGCCAAATACCAGTCTTCCAGTGCAATTAAGAGACTCTGTCTTGTTCAAAGACCAAACCATGCTGTTTGTTTAGAAAGCCTAGTCAATTTCAGTAACAACACTGTCGTCACGTATGTTTCCGGTTTCGAATCACAGAATTAAGAGATTAGCAGCTGCGAGAATTTATTCTTAAAAATATTCCTCCAGTATAAAAAACTCAATTTCCTTTTTTATGTTTATTTTTAAAATACACTAAGAAACTTAACAACAGATAATTTTATCTTATCAAATAGCGAGAAATGCTTGATGAATGAACACAAGTTTACTAGAAGTGTTATTTCAAGTCATCATAGAATTGTATTGGTGATCCTAGAAGACAGTCCCCAAACTGTTTGGTTTCTTAGGACTTTAAGATCTTCAACTAGACTGTTTCTTGAAGATGTTTTTAAAAACGTCTCTTTCAAGGGTATTACAGGTAAACCCTTATATGTTCTACTGTATATTTTTTGTCATTTTTTTATATTTTAATTCCATAATCCTTTGACATCACCTATTGTATGAGTAACTTCTATTCATTTCCTAACAACTGAGAGAATAATAACTTCTTAAATATTTTTATCATGTTTAAGGGTGTACATATTTATTTAATCAGAAATAAAACAAGAATAAATTCTAGGAAAAAGAAATCCAGCAATGTAGAGAGAGTTTTTCATCTAATTTTTAAACTAAATCTTTGATATTTGATTCTCTACGCTTAACCAAAGTATTCAAATAATTTGGTAATTTCAGTGGTCTTGCTTTTTAAATTAGGAAAACAGCCACACCAATAAATTTGCTAGGTGCCGTATTGCTTGTTATAAATTATTTCCATCAAGGATTTGTATGCTGCTGTAAAATAATTATATCTTGCTAAGTTCCTCTACTTATTCAGTTCCTTTGCTGAAGTTCCTTATTAGTAAGGTAGGAGATACTTAGTCAATTGAATAAGCTAAATGGATAAGTGTCTTGAGCACAAGATAAGCAGATACTGAAAAGCTGAATATCTTTTGTCCATTGTTAACTGTATTTCTAATGGTTGACTGCATTGAAATGAAATAATTCACCCCTACAACTACAACTCTTGTTTCCTCATATTTTGTTTCTTGGAGTATATCAATACTCTATTTTCACAAAGAAATAATTAAAAACCTAAGAGAAGACTTATTTTGTTTATGGTTTAATGATACTGTTTTCATTTCAATAAAGCTGGCATTTAAGAAGAGGGATCATTTCCCAAAAACTAAGAACATTTCTTCCAGCCTGGTCAACATGGTGAAACCCTGTCCCTACTAAAAAATACACAAAAATTAGCTGAGCATGGTGGCACACTCCTGTAATCCAAGCTACTGTGGACGCTGAGGAAGGAGAATCACTTGAACCCAGGAAGCAGAGGTTGCAGTGAGCCAAGATCATGCCACTGCACTCCAGCCTGGGCAACAGAGCAAGACTCTGTCTAAAAAAAAAAAAAAAAAAAAAAAACCTCAGAACATTTCTTTGTATAAACCATCCATTGTGGAAAATGTATAAAGAAAACTAATCTTGACAAGGATATAAAATACATTTCTAAGAACTACTTTAGGGTTTTTCCCCTAATGATTATTCACCTCCACTTATTCTGTCTAGAGTCAATAGAATGCTTATGAGAATATGTCTTCATATTTTTATATGTACACCACATGTACTGTAAATCCAAAATGATAGATACTAATACCTATTAAATACATAGGAAAGAATGGCATGCATATGTGTTCCTTGTGCTTTTTCCTTGATACTCTGAAGTAATGTTCTTGAAATTAATATATTCCTTGATGGCTAATACTTAGGGAAGCCAAATGACCAGATACAGGGTATAATAAAAGCCATATTTTGTACATGTCATCAGGCTTTGGGGTTGATTATGATAGGAATGAGGGCTTGGAAGCAAGAGTGAAAGCCTTGGCCGGGCACGGTGGCTCACACCCATAATCCCAGCACTTTGGGAGGCTGAGGCAGGCGAATCACAAGGTCAGGCATTTGAGACCAGCCTGACCAACATGGTGAAACCCCATCTCTACTAAAAATATACAAATTAGCCAGGCATGATGGCACATGCCTGTAATCCAAGCTACTCGGGAGGCTGAGGCAGGCGAATCACAAGGTCAGGCGTTTGAGACCAGCCTGACCAACATGGTGAAACCCCATCTCTACTAAAAATATAAGAATTAGCCGGGCATGATGGCACATGCCTGTAATCCAACCTACTCGGGAGGCTGAGGCAGGTGAATCACTGGACCCCGGGAGGCAGAGGTTGTGGTGAGCAGGATTGTGCCACTGTACTCCAGCCTGGGCAACAGAGTGAGATTCTGTCTCAAAAAAAAAAAAAAAAAAAAAAAAAAAAAAAGTTGTGAAAGCCTTAATAAGCACAGATCATTTATTCATCTAAATTATGTTGGGAGAGGCAGAGAAAACCTATATATAAAATTATTTCAGAAAATGTTGAGTTCTAGGTAGACAGAAAGAGAAGGCAACTGGATAGAACATATCTGGGGGAGAGACACTTGACTCTCCTATCTGGGGAAGGAGAGACTGCTTTAGATATGGATTTCAAAGAAGGCGTCTGTGTGCTTATGCAGGGTATGGATGTTAATTTGGATATTGTCCATATTGAACCTAACATTTGAATGACTTTCCAAGTAGGAGGGGACAAGCTATACTAGACATTTACATAACATACAATAGGGTCTTTTTAATGGGAATACTGGGATCAAAGGGTAGTCAATTAGGTTAGTGGTTTGACCAGGAATGAAGCCAAGTTACACATTAATCTGGTTTTGAGGTAAAAAGAGCCACAGTGGGGAACCATATGCTGGGCTCCTGGAATGCCAAGATCAGAGTCGGACACTCTCAGGATAGAGCAGATGCTGAGCCTGTGAGCTCTTACTCTCCTGCTTCTTGTATTCTCCCGTCACTTTCACCCTTACCTAAGCTGCAGCTTCCTGAATAATGCGATTAGGCCTGGGGATTAGATGCTGCTGAACATCTAGTGAGTAAAGGACAGAGAGACATGGGATTTGAAGCCAACTGATTGTTAGATCTTTTGCCTTTGGTGAAGCTATTTTCTTTTAAGAATCCATGTATTATGGGTGGAATAATTTTCTTTTCAATATTTTTTCTACTTAAATTTAAAATGTACTGAATCCTTCACCATAGGTTTTTATTAGCCCATAAAAAAGGAGTGATCTTTGATTCAAATTATTTAATATGTCTCAGTTTTCTCTAAAATGGATAAATCTACGTTAGCTGCTGTAATTTTAAATTAATATAGCAAAAATTATCACAAATAAAAATCAGTAATAGGCAATGTAGAAACATATCATAATTCTATCTAGAATGCATCCATCCATCAGGCATTTTTACAAATATTTAACCCTCTTTTTT